ATTGAAAATTTGAGGTGGTTCTTAAATTCAAGGAATGTGTACCATTGTGTTTTTTTTTTTTTCATAAAACCCACATTCAGAAACTGGATGCATCTAAAATTTGAGGGTGTCTTATATTCAGAGTGCTATGGTATATGTTTCTGCTCTGAAAGAACCATAGGGGGGAATCACGGAGTCTGGTTCCCTGGCCAGACCAATAGGGACAGTGGACAGGGAAATTGTGAAAGTTGTGCAAGTAAGGAAATGACCCTCAAAGTACAATGTTGTAGAACGGTTGCCTGTGGTGTTTTGGTGCCTTTACTATCCTGTATAAGGACAATTTCTTTACTTTCACAACTTTCACAGTTTTCTGTGTCCGCTGTCCCGGTTGGCATAGATGGGGCACCAATGACACAGACTAGAAGAGTGATCTGTGCTGCATGACCAAGCTTTCCCAGTCTGGCAAAGGAGTAGATGGAATGGCTCATTCTTGCACTTCGAGTCATGATTATTCATTGGGATGGTACTCAATTTATGGTCACTGAATTCATATTGGTGAGCTCTACAACTTTTGTAGCAGTGGGAAATTAAGTTCTAGTAAAAAAGTGAAGCTGACCTTGATCTCACATAAAACAGTGAAAGATACAAATAAACTGTATCATGCACACTTTGTCCCCCTTTAAACTATGAAAACTTTGAATTGAATTGAATTGAATTTATTTACATTCTATAAATCCTAAGCAGGTTAGTACCTATGGATACAGAACAAGTCAAAAAGTTACATACATAAGTACAGGCAATTTTAGCTTAAAAATTAATATAACTTAATTTTACATCATTCCCTATTTACATTGAAGTATTCATCTAAAGAGTAGAAGGAATGAGCATGTAGATAATTCTTTAACTCTGATTTAAACTTTTTAGTATCATTGCCCAAGTTTTTAATACTTTGTGGCAGATTGTTGAACACTTTTATGCCAGTAAAGTAGACTCCTTTTTGATATACTGATAAAGTTGATGAGGGTAGGTGGAAGTTATATTTTTGTCTAGTATTCATGTTATAGACATCAGAATTTAATTTGAATTTATCTTTGTTGTAAACAACAAATAAGAGAAGTGATAATATGTATTGCGATTGAAGAGGTAGAATTTTTAATTTCTTAAATAATTCTCTACATGAATCTCTACTTCTACATCCTGTAATGATTCTAATTATATTCTTTTGTATTTTAAAAATTATTACACTATGTGAAGAGTTCCCCCAAAATATTAATCCATAGTTCATAATAGAATGAAAGTAGGCATGGTAAACCATCTTCAATGTTTCCTGTGACATAAAAGGCTTAATTGATCTCATCGCATAGCAAGCTGCATTTAATTTAGGTATAATTTGTTCAATATGTATTTTCCAAGACAGTGTACTGTCTACATGTATTCCAAGGAATTTTGTATCAAGTACTTTACAGATTAATTTGTTGGCATAACTGATGTCCAGATCAATTTGGTGGTTGTTTTTAGTTGTGAATGATATGTAATGGGTTTTATCAAAATTTAATGAGAGTAAATTGGCTTCGAACCATCTGTTTAAGGCTTCAAATACAATATTTATGTCATTTTTAAAGTTTTCAAATTTAGAGTTCTTAAATATTATACTAGTGTCATCTGCATATAGAATTGGTTTAGATTTATTGTTGATGGTTTTAGATAGATCATTTATGTAGAGAAGAAAAAGTAAGGGACCTAAAATTGATCCTTGTGGAACACCGTGCTTTATAATTCCCCAGTTTGAAAATGCATTATGACTGGAGTTTTTATTATTTATTTCAACTCTTTGATACCTGTTTTTGAGGTATGATTTGATCCATTCATTAGCTTTGCCAGTTATTCCATAGAAATTTAATTTCGATAGTAAGATATCATGATTAACACAATCGAAAGCTTTTGCTAGATCACAGAAAATCCCTCCCACAATTAATCTGTCATTGAGAGCACTTAAAATATCGTTAGTTAGTTCATAGGTTGCTTTTTCTGTTGTTAGGTCTTTCCTAAATCCAAATTGCTCTTTGACTAATATGTTGTTAGAATTTAAGTGTTCAAGTAGTCTATTATACATAACTTTTTCAAAGACTTTTGAGAATGAAGTCAATATGGATATTGGTCTGTAATTAGAGATGCATTTTCTCTCTCCTTTTTTAAAAAGTGGTTTCATTATAGCGTATTTTAAGCGTTGAGGAAAAGTACCAGATGATAAAGATTTATTACATAGATGATTCAAGGGTGAACTGATGTAAACAGAGCTTGCTTTAAGTAATTTGGTAGAGATTTCATCATATCCATGTGAATTTTTGGGCTTAAGGGATTTAATAATGTTTTCAATTTCCTTCCTTGTTGAGAATTTGAGATTTATATTTGGAAATGAATTGTTAAAGGCACGTGACAGATAGTATATTGGATTATTATTATTATTATTATTATTATTATTATTATTATTATTATTATTATTATTATTATTGGAATATGTTTTCTCAGCTAATGAAAGGAAATATTCATTAAATGCACTTGCGATAGCTTGTGGATTGTTAGTGGACTTCCCTTCAATATTCAAACTTTGTACGTCTTCATTAACAGATTTCTTTCCTGATTCAACTTTCACAATATCCCAGGTGGTTTTAATTTTATTGTTTGATTTTAGAATTTGGCTGTTATAGTTATTCTGTTTGGCTTCTTTAATGACTTTTGACAAAATTTTACAGTACATTTTGTAGTGACTTTTTAGGCTTGGATCATTACTGTCCCTACTGGCCAAATATAGTTGTCTTTTGTGTTTACACGAAGTTTTTATTCCAATTGTTATCCAGGTGGATTTGTTTTTATTTTCATATATTTAATAGACACGGACAGATAGAAATGAAAATATACAGAAAACCCACAATGACAGACATAACAATAAATAATAAATCATGCCACCCTAAAGAGCAAAAATTGCCAGCATATAAAAATTGGATACACACTTCTTACACTACCCCTTGAGGAAAATGCTAAAAACAAAGAATTAAATACTATTATTAATATAACACTAAATAATGGCTATAGAAAGGAAGACATCACACATCTATATAACAAACTTAAGCGAAAGATGGGTAACCTGGATAATAAAGACGAAAAAGAACAAAATGTGTCACTTCTGCTAATACAGGAAATTACATACGAAAAATCACAAAACTATTCAAAAACACTAACATAAAGATAGCCTTCAAAACAGCCAACACAATAGGTAAACTAATAAATGAAAAACGAGAAATAAACCCCTACGAACAAAGTGGGATATAGGAAATAACATACCAAAGTTGCCAAAAAGTATACATTGGCCAAAGTGGTAGAAATTTAACAAGATACAAAGAACACATAAGAAACATAAGACTAAACAAGGACGAATCAACATTTGCCCAACACATACTAAATAAACACCATCAGTACGGGCCCATGACAGTAATCATGGAAATGATTGAAAAAGCCAAAAAAAGAGGCATCATGAATGTAAATAAATTGATAGAAGAACAAGAACACACAAAAGAAAGTAATAGCAAACGTAACATGTTCGACCTCATAATACATCAGAACACGCCCACCCACCAGACTTCTCATCACAGATTCATCCCTCTTATAACCCTTCGGCATGGACCACAGAAAACACTGCTTCCAGCAGTTCCTCTGTTGTGTGTTGATTTGTTGCCATGGGAACCTGTTTGTTTGCAGTTGATACCTAGTAATGGGTGTACATGCTACAGTATCAAAATTACAAACAATTTCAGGTTTTTGCAGTGGTGACTATGAAGATCATTATCTTCTGATTATGCCCTGTAGTCAGGTATACATCTACTGATGTTTTATAGGAACATGCTGCCTTGTTCTTGAGGGTAGAAGATAGAGGGAGAAGGTTTCTCCAAAACAATGGTAAAAATCTACCAGATCACATGTCATCACATCCCAGAAAACTGTATTGTCAGTCAGAATTACAGTAACAGAAAATTAAGAGGAGATTGATCTCAGAGAATCTTGGTACTATTCAGCAAGAATCTTTTATCTTCCAATCTCCTATCTAAAACAAAGGCTGAAATATACAAAACTGTAAATTTTTCCTGTTGTTTTCTGTGGCTGCAAAATTTTTACCGTAAGGGAAGAACATAGAATGAGGGTGTTTGCGAGCAGGGAGATGAGCTGAATATTTGATCCAAAGAGACGGGAAGTCACTGGAACCTGTAGAAAATTGAATAATGGAGAACTTCATAATTTGTGCTCTTCACCAAATGTTATTAGGTTGATCAGAACAAGGAAGATGAGATGAGCAGGCCATGTAACATGCACGAGAGAGATGAGAAATGCACACAGATTTATTAAAAATACTGAAGAAAATAGATAACTTGTGAGATATAGGTGCAAATGGGAGAATAATGTTATAAATGATCTTAAGGCAACAGAGTGTCGACTGAATTCACCTGGCTCAGGATAGGGACCAGTGGAAGCCTCTTGAACACTTCATAATGGATGGTTCAGTAAAAGGTGGGAAATTTCTTCACTAGCTAAGCAACCATTACCTTCTTAAGGTGCTGCATAGTCATAATATCTTTTCCGTTTTAATGTACAGAGTTTTCATGGAATGCTGGAAGGGATATTAAAGCATTGTGGGGAATTGACTATAGATATTGTAATTTATATGTTTATTTATGGTGTATTGAATGATACTGTAAGTAAGTTGGATAATTTCATGTCAAATTATATGATGGTTAGAGAATGATGAATTGGAATGGACATGGAAGGAAGTGGTCGAGGTCAGTTTTGAGACACTGTCCTGGCACAGAAGAATATCATGAGAAACCTCCATCAGGGTAGTCAGTGTCCTTGCTGACATTCAAACTGGGCACCTCCAAAATACCAGCATTACTGTTTGAGCTGGCTTGCTCGATGTAACTTGTTTTTAAATGGTTTGGTGTGTGATAGTTTTTGATGGAATTGTTTTGCAGATTGTACGGGAACATTATCTTCGTGATGACATATGGTGTGGATCAGATATATGCACCATTTGTGCTCATCAAAATGAGGAGCTAGTTTTGGAGAAAAATCCTCAGCCAAAGAACAAGAAATTTCCATTTCCTCATTATATTGTTTTGGACACATGTGTTGTTCTCAATCAGGTGAGTCACATATTTCATGAAGATCTATACTTTAGACCCAGAATAATATTTTTCTGTTTATAGACAGGCTTATGATATCATGACTGTGCATCTCGTAGAGGTGCCATTATTGACCTAGAGTAAAAGAGCATTTTCAAATATTTTTTGAACATTTGAAACAAATTAAGTTTTATTTATTTGCCAAAAAATAAGAATACAGTAAAATATTATATATTATTCCATCGTTCCATTTTTCAAAGTTTATGATAGATATCTAGAAGTAGAATATCAATTTTGAATAACTGATCTTATTTTGTCAGTCGTCGTAGCCAAGCAGTCTAAGGCATGTACTGCCTTTGCTTGCTCGGAAGCCGAGATTGTGGGTTCACATCCCACACAAGACATGGATGTATGGTTTGTGCGTGTGTATGCATTTATTCTATGTTTATGTTGTCCTGTGTTTAGGTAGAGGCTTTGTGACAAGCTGTCCACCCGTCAGAGGAGTCCTACCATCTGTAAAAATGATCAGTGAAACAAAAATCAGCTAAATTTTCCAAAGTGGGAGTGAGAGGAGAAAAAAATCTTATTGTATGAGCTAATATGGCAAAATAGTGATTATATGTGGGTCCCAGAGACATTTCTATGTAATCCCAAGAATCCGGAAATGTTAGTGGACTTCTTCTGGACTATATGATGTTACATCCGAGAATGTAGTTGTAAGATTTGAGGTTTGGCACCGTGTATATGTGGTGTTAACCGACGTTTCGGAGGAACGTATCGCCCCCATCTTCAGGGTTGAAGAAAAAGTATAAGTAAATCTGCAAGCGACAACACCGTAGGACACGGTAATTGGTACTGTAATTAGTGCTTTGGTCAGTGATTACATTTACCAATTAATCAGATTTGGAATTTGATGAAATTTGTATAATAGGCTTTTTATAACAAGCCTATGATCTCCATTATTATTAGGAGAATATGTAGATTAGCCAGAGCATATACAAAACCATTATATTTTGTGTGAAAATTTCACAGATGTAAATCCATTTATAAACGGTGTTACCAGGATCCGTTAGAACTCATTTTTTTTTTTTTTTAATTTTTCCTTGCAATGCCATCTGTTGGTGAGTTGTGGCATTGAGATTCTTGAAGTTTCAGCTGTGACTGTCTATAATTTCAAAGCATAAGTGTCTCTGCATCATATGTTCTGACATTGAATGTAACAGTACTGTTCTGACACTCATCGGAAAATGGCGGCTGAACAGAGAGCCAACATAAAATTTTGTTTGAAGTTAGGCATAACAGCTAGAGAAGCATATGAAATGATGAAAAATGTGTACGGTAGTGATTGTTTGAGTCGCTCGACCATTTTTCAATGGTATGTTATATTTGGTGATGGCAGGGAGGACATTGAAGACGCTCCACGTGCATCAAAGCCAAGAACAAGTCGCACTGAAGAAAATGTGAAAAATGTGACCAAAATCCTTGCATCAGACAGATGTGTGTCTGCAAGACCCATCGAGGAGCTTCTGGAAATACCAAAAAGTACTGTGCATCAAATTTTGACCGAGGATTTGGGCAAATGGAAGGTCTGTGCGCTGTTTGTACTGCATGCACTGTCAGGCGATGAAAAGCATGCTAGAGTGGAACACTGCAAAGACATGTTACGGTCGGCCCAAAGTGGTACAAAATTTACAAAATCGATTGTAACTGGTCATGAGACATGGTGTTTTCAATATGAGTCTCTCACAAAGCGGCAGAGTGCAGCATGATTGAGACCAAAGAAGCCGAAACCAAAGAAAGTGAACGTGCAAAAGAGTCAAGTAAAAACACTCTTAACAGTTTTCTTCGATTCCAAAGAAATCATTCACAAGAAATTTCTGCCAGAAGGGCAAACAGTGAATTCTGATTATTATCTGGGAGTCCTCAATCATTTGTGGGTGAGAATTCTTTGAATTCAACCTGAATATCGAGAGCAAGGTTACTGGTTGCTCCTCCACGACAATGCTCCACCCCACAAATCAAAGATCGTGCACGATTTTTTGGCCAGAAAAGGGATCACAGTCCTTGATCATCCTCCATATTCACCAGATTTGGCTCCAGCAGATTTCTGGTTGTTCCCAGAAGTTAAGTTGATGATGAAAGGAGACTGTCATGACACCATCCAGGACATCCAAAGGGAATGTACCACAGTTTTAAATGTGATTCCACAAAAGGAGTACATTGACTATTTTCGAAAACTTTTCAATCGATTCCAGCCATATATTGGTTCAGAAGGATATTGTTTTGAATAAAAAGAGTGAAATTTTGAAAATAATTCATGTCTTATATTTTTAATGTGCACAGTCCTAACAGAACCTGGACACACTGTATACGTCCACATGCTTGCATGTGTTAATTTCTTTAGACATGCATAAACATGTGTCCTGAGAGATCCCAGTCTCATGTATACTTACAGTTCCCCTCTCCCCTATTGTAAATCCTCATTTAATATATTTCTTCACTGTTCAGTTTGAGGTTGTCATGGTGATGACTGTAAGGAATAGTGTATTTTGGGATATGCCATGTAGTCCTGTAGACCACCAGACTGGTGTCACATCCCAGAAAATAGTGCTCTTCTTATTGCTCTTGTGTTCTAAATAAGTGGGGTGCACACTGTAGCAAAGTTGGTTAAGGCACTATGCTACAAGCCGGAAGATCACGGGTTCCGAGTCCTGATGAGATGGATTTTTTTTTTTCAATTGACCTAATCCTTTCAGCTGCACTATGGCCCAGGGGTCAACTCATCCTCTAACAGAAATGAGTACCAGGAATCTTCCTGGGGTGCAAAGGGCGGCCGGCACATAAGGCTGACAACCTCACCGCCATCTGTAAGCCGATTGTCTAGAAAATATGGGACCCTCAACGTCTCGCCACCCTATGGGCCTTCACCGCCTGTTACAGGGATAACTTTACCGTCACCTTTTATTCTAAACAAAATCCTAAAATTAAATCTTATATACAGTTATATATAATCTTAATAAATGGGTTTTCTTTACAGATTAATGTGCTGGAAGAGGATGCTTTATGCAATGTTATAGTTGTGCAGACTGTTTTAGAAGAGGTGAAACATCGGAGTTCTTCTGTTTATAAGAGGCTGCTGGATATTGTTGGGAATCCAAATCGAAAATTCTATGTTTTTGTAAATGAACATCATAAGTAAGTTCTTACATCACTCATAGAATTATTATGAATTTCATGACAAGCCCTTAAATGAAGAGTTATTCAGGAAGAGTCCATCTAATTCTGTGGGTACATTAATCAAATGATTATGAATAAAAATAGCTCCTGTTAATATTGCTACAATTTGGAAAGTTCAAAGAGTCATGGCAGATAGAAAGTAAGATAAAGAAAACAATAAGTAAGGGTTCTTAAATGAAAAATTTCCCAATACATTTAACCCTTTGACGTGGTCATTTAAATTCCGCGGCCGCGGCTCCTGCGGTAATATATTCAGCCGGCCATTTAAATTTTGCTCGAAAATTATTTATTCATCATTGTTCTTAAATTCTATGAGATAGGAACATGAAACTTTCACTAAAATGATCTTAAAAGGTGGTTTTATAACCTTACCTTATAATATGCGCGCCCTTTATATCTTCAATGGAAGCAGGTTGTTTAGTATTTGAGCAGTGAATGGGACGCCTTGAAGCATGAAACTTTCACTAAAATTATCTTAAAAGATGGTTTTTATAAACTTACCTTATAATATGAGCGCCCGGTATCTATTCGAGCAGTGTAAGGAAGGCCTTGAAGCATTCGTGTAACCCAACGGTGCCCCACATTCCTCGCTCCGATATTTACGGTCATCCCTCGAAACGACCACCAAGGTCAGTACGATAAAATGACGTCAACTGGAGCGATGATTATGAAGGAATGAGTACTTTTCCCTCCCCCACACACATCCGTATCGTCTCAGGGGGTGACCACAGTGTCCTGCCTTATATTGTGGCGTTTTTCTAAGAAATGGGTGCTATGAACTGTGCGAAAGCAGTTGATTTTACGAGAATAAAATTTTGGACAACCCTCTTCTAAGAATTGCAATTGAGTGTGCTACTGTGGCCAGCTCAGGGTAATATGATATTATCAACATCGTAAATATCACGTCTCGGTTGTTTATATCTTCAAAGCAAAGTAAACAGGCCTTTCATAACGGTACAGCTAGAATCCGCTCGCCAGAGCCACAGGAATTTTGCTGCAAGACAGGCATATGTAACGATGACTTATCTCAGCTAAACTCGTTGGCTTAGTATACTCTGTTCTTGTGACAACAGGCCAGCGAAAAATCTAACAATCTACAGCAAAACCACCAATTATTATGGGCGTTATAACATAGGTGTGCAGCTGGACGAAACAGACACGCCGAACCCCCCCAGACGATTTAAATCCCTGACGAACCATACACGACGAACCACGGCAACGGGTTAATGTGAAACTAAAATAAAGATTTTTGATATTGAGACATGTTGCAAAAATTATTGAAAATGTCGATCTCTTACTCGATGTTGCCATTCACTTGAATAACATGCCTTGCCCAAAGTTCATTCCAAATTGCATGTCAAATATGGTATTTATGAAAAGCACCAGTAAGTGACCATTATCAGACGGGGAAATGAAGGGGGTTAAATTTCTGTGCTGTGCACATTTGTATCTGTGTAGGTAACTGAATTTTTTTTTTTTCTTTTCTTCATCTGGCCACTTTGTAGATGACATAAGAAAAAATAGTTGTAAAAGTATTGCCAACATGCCAGCATCAATAAGAGGAACTGAATCCAAGTCTGTTGCTATTAAATAGTTTTGTAATTTTGACTTGCCAGTTTGCAAGATCAATTTAGTACAGGCAACCAGGTGACCATATTTTAAAGCTCTGTTTACTATGACTTTCTTTTATCTTATCAATTTTTTTTATTTATTTACAGGGATACATATGTAGAGCGAGAACCAGGGGAGAAAGTTAATGACCGCAATGATCGTGCTATACGAGTGTCCGTTGCATGGTATGAAAGCCATCTGATGTCAAGTCAAGCAGACCGAAGGAAAAGAGATCGTGTGAAAGTGATATTACTTACAGATGATGTTGATAGTAAGCAGAAAGCTGAAAACGAAGGTCTTCACGTTGCCACAAGTATGGTTATTCATATGGCTTCTTTCGTGTATTACATTTATATTGTAAGTTTTGAGGTTTTCACGGTGATGACTATGAAGAAAGTCATCTTCTGGGATCTGGCGCCATGTATTCTTGGTTTTAACCGACATTTCGGAGGAACGTATTCCCTCCATCTTCAGGGCAGGTGAATCGCGATGCGAATACAGAGAGCAGTAGCTGCAATGATTCGGGAGAGAAGAGCGCTAGTTATATAGGAAGCAGGAAAGGGGGGGGGTCTGGGAGAGGGGACCAATGGGAACAGTGAACAGCGATTAAGGCCATATATGGTCCGTTACCTGGATTGCATCATCATGGAGGCCATTGAGATCGAGCTCTATCCAAAAAACATGAACAAGGAAACAGGGTTTTGTCTCAACAAATCATGGAAACCTCTCATCTCTTCCCTCAAGAGAACTCCACAGTCACCCAAGTTCTTCATGTCATTGACTGCCAGTAGCCTGTCCCCAGCCAACCGGTTCTTCTTGTTTACCCGCTACCTCCGTGCCACTGACCTCCAAGTTGNAAGAATACATGGTGCCAGATCCCAGAAGACGACTTTCTACATTTATGTTGTTTATAATAAGCACAGAGTTACACTGTAACAATATTTTTATGTCATAACTGATGATAGTATGTTTCATACCCAGGAATAGGTTCTGGAGTCCATAATGCTACACATTCAATGTCTGTATATCTGCTCTTCAAACTTTTGAACAAAATGACTGATTTTCGCAAAATATGATATGAATACTATGTTATTTGAGCCAACTTCAACTTCATACATTTTAATTTCTTACAGTTAGTAATCATATCATGTCAGATGTGCAAACTTGAGTTCTGAATGGCACAAGCACCAATTAATTTAGGGTCCTGAGGTGATGTATGGTAATAGATCTTCAGAGAATATGTAACTTATGTTAAGGTAAGACGGGGGACTAGTTTTGTCAATGGGCACAGCTGAGTAGATGTTTTACCTTAGGATGGGGGCAGAGTTCAGTCTCTTAAACTTTGTTTTAAATAAAAACAGGATAACAGATAATGTCCAGAAGGTTATTAATTTTAAGATGGCCTGCAAAGTCTAATTGAACCAAAAGTCATTACAGTGAATTGAAAGTAGGAACTTCAAAAAAGTATGAATTTATGAAACTGTAGATCACCATGTCAACCCCTTTATGTTTTCAAATCTTTATATTGCAGAAGATAAATTTCACATATATAGTTCCTAACCTTCAGTGTCTTTATGTCATGTTGCTATTTTTGCTACAAAGGAATGACACACATCATAAAATTATACAGAGGGATGAGACATGTGCTTTAATTCCTTTATTTTTATGTTTTTGCAGTTAGTGACTATGTAAGAAATGTAGAAGATTGCCCAGGTCTTGAAGACAGATTGTCCCAACATAACACTACATATGAGCTTCAGGCTGGTGGGCGAGAACCTTTGTTTCCAGCACATTTTACTCCATCACAGATTCATCAAGGCATAAAATCAGGGAAATTACTTCAGGGTTCATTCTTGGCATCTAGAGAAAACTTTCTTGAAGGACAAGTGAATGTGGAAGGACAAGACAAAATGGTGAGTTCTGCAGGTGGTTGCAGGAAAGAAGTACTCTGAAATTTGTACTGTGCTTGAAGAGTATTGGAATGCTCAGAATGGCCTGTGGACTGTAATTTTCTTTGCCTGTAATGTGTTTGTATCATATCCATGTTACTGAAGTATTGTAAAGTGTATTCAGTACTTCCGTTTATAGTGCTGTGCCCTCTTTAATGTAAGAAAAGTTCACTATCTTTTGTGTCCTGTTAGGAGCCAGGATAGTTCAGTCACTGTAGTGACTGGACCACGGGCTGGACGTCTGAGGAGTCAGGGTTCAGTTCCTGGTTGAGGCAAAATACAAGGTGGTTCAAATATGACTGGGACTGATTTTTTTTTTTAAACCAAAATTGCCAAACACTTATTTGCACATGTCAGTCTTCAACGTACTCCCCTCCGGAGTCAACACTTTTTTCAACGTTCTGGAAGCATCCTGATGCCCTTTTCAAAAAAGTTTTGCGGTTGGTGTCGTATCCACTCCCGAACATTCTGGATGACAGCGTCATCCACAAACCGCTGCCTTGCAAGTGTGATTTGAGCCTTCTGAACAGGTAGAAATCACTTGGTGCCAAATCAGAACTGTACGGCGGATTTGTCAGAAGGTTCCATTTCAATTTCTGGAGGGTTTCCATTGTGTTGGCCGTATGGGGGCGTGCATCGTTTTGAAGGAAGGCTACCCGCTTTCCATCTCTCTTCCGCTTGGATCGGATCTTTTCCTTCACGTCTGTTGCCAGGAGGTCTGCGCAATAAGCTGCACTGACTGTTCTGGCATCTGTCAGAAAGTCTACATGGATAACCCTCTGCCAGTCCCAGAAAAACGTTGCCATCACTTTTCCTGCCGAACGGCTCCTCCGTGCTCTCTTGGGTTTGGGAGAACTGGTATGCCGCCACTCGCGTGATGATTGCTGGGACTCGGGGAATGAAGTAGTGCACCTGTGTTTCATCAGTGGTCACTACAGACTTCAAAAGTGCATCACCTTCGTGTTCAAACTGCTGTAGGAGATGACCGGCAACTTGCATGTGCACCTTTTTGTTCACGTCCGTCAAAGTGCGTGGTACCCACCGTGCATTCACCTTGCGATAGTGCAGGTGGTATTTCATGTCTTCTGCACTACCAACACTGATGGACATCATTGCTCCAAGTTCCTTGATAGTGATGCGCCTATTCTCACGAATAAGTGCGTCTGCACGATCAGTGTTTGGCTTGGTGACAGATGTTCGCAGCCGACGATCATGTGGTTCATTCTCCATGCGCTCTCTGCCCTCTCTGAAGAACTTACACCACTCAAACACACGGGTCCGTGAGAGACACTTTTCCCCATACTGTTGTTGGAGTCTGTGGTGAATTTCAGCGGACAGGACGTTTTCTCCAACTAGGAATTTGATCACAATGCGTTGTTCCACGCTCCGCGGTACCTTCTGTTCACTCATCATTCTAGCAACTTCCAGACAGGACTGAACAGGTTCTAACCCTAACAGGAGGGAGGGTGGATGTTGTGGCTTCACTCTCTCAAGGTCACACAGCTGCTGCGCAGTGCGGCTTGTTTACAAAAAAATCAGTCCCGGTCATATTTGAACCACCTAGTATTTTATCTTAATCGTAATGTCCAGACTGGCTCTGGGACACACCCAGCCTCATATGCAATGGGAACTGAGGGCTATTTCCCCAGGGGTAAAATGGCAGGGGCAGTTTGGAATGATATTTTGCTGAAATAGAAGGTACTGTAAAAGGAAGGTAGGATAAAGTTTATAAAACAGGAAGTTCTGGAAAAAACTAGTCGCCTATTTTCATTTGGTACAACACAGACTGCATAGAAAATAATAGGTCCAACAGTTCTTCTCTTTTGTTATGTGTATTCATTGCTGCAGTAATGTCTTTATTGCACTGTTGCCTAGCAACAATAAGGGGATACAGATACAGATAAACAGACTGATGGGAGGGATTTATGGAGTACAGGAAGACCTCACTAATTCAGACTAATTGTGAATATACTGTTGTCTGAATTAGTGCAAGTCCGAATTGTGGAACTGCTACTGAAAACATGTTGAGGGTAGTTATGAAATGGATTTCACGTGTCTTTTTAGGCAGTACAACTTTATTTTTAAACTTAGAATGCATAAAATAAAATAAATTTACTTGTTATAAAATGTAAGAATGCAAGTTTCAACATCAGTCTTAAAAACACTTTATGTAACCCCAATATGTAGTATTATTGTTCTTGATGTTCGATGTGAGGCTTACATGTATCTGCCATCATCTATGCTAATGCTACACACAGCAGTTTGTAGTCACTGATTGTGGCAATGTGATCATCAAGGTCATAATGAACAAAAGAAAACAAATGTCTGAATTATTGTGAATTCTGAAAGTCCAAATTTCTTGACGTTTCACTGTGCATTGCTGGGATGGTCTCAGGTGCCATGATATACATAGAAAGTTTTATAAAGATTGGTTCAGGCATTCAAAAGTTGACAGGAGAGGAATTCATAGGCACACAGACAGCATGTTGAACTCATAAGCTTACTTCTATTTTCTCAAAATGAAGAAAATAGAGTAAGAAAGAATGGAATGCAAGAATGGGAAATTTCCTTTGATATGCATATGGGAACTATTCATAATATTCTATTTTAGCACCCTGTTGCATTGTGTATAAACTTGAATACTGTGCTGATTGTTATCTGTCCTTGTGCAGCTTGTTCAAAATCTTCTACGTTTCAGTGTTGCTTCTTTCCAGAAGCCAAATACATGGAAAACACACAGAATCAAGCAGAGCAGATACAACACCAGAGAAAATGAAGGCAACATATTCAACAAATATAAACCAAACACGTGGTTAGACACAAAGGAATAGTGTAACATAACCTGAATGAAACATCTAGAAGCATCTAATACATAAAAAGTAAAGCAGACCAGACTCCTTTAACACACCTTGTACACCTGATGATGGTCAGTTTGGCCGGAACATGTTGCGAAATAAAGCAGAAAGAAAAAGCATTGAAACCTAGCAGATTTTGATTGAGTTGCACAAGGACATATAAGAATCAGGACAGTATTTAAGTTTGTGCATATGGGAGTGAAGAACCATAATGTAACAGTGCCTACTCTTTATATATATATATATATATATATATTGCTAGTGGGGTGTACTGCCGCCACTTCTGGCCTATTGTACCAGCCCCAGATGATAGGTGAGGGTCATTGTGGAGCAATTGGTGGAATGAAGATTGGCAGGGAAAATCGAAGTACTCTGAGAAAACCTGCTCCAGCGCCACTTTGTCCACCACAAATCCCACTTGACCAGACCTGGGATCGAACCCAGAGCGCCACAGTGGGAAGCCAGCAACTAACCACTTGAGCTATGGCACGGCCCGAGCCTACTCTTACAAGGGAATGGTCTGATCTGACATGTCGAAACCTGCCCTGCAAGAGTACACACAACAAAATCCACTGTCAAAATTTTAGCTGCTAATATGCACTGCAAGTATTTTTTAAAAATTGCTGAACATGGCCAATATTGTAGCCTGCCAGACCCTTGGAGAAATGTTCACCCCTAGCAGAGCCGGAGCAGAGCAGAAGGCAACACACAACACAGCTGACTCATAGCCTAGGCTGGGGTTGTACAAACCTCTGGTACAAGTGGTTCTGTGTACAGAAAAAATGAGTGACTTCGGAAATTTTTAAAAAATACTTGCAGTGCGTATTAGCAGCTAAAATTTTGTTGTGTGTACTCTTGCAGTGAAAAAAAAAATCAGGGCAGGTTTCGACATGTCGGATCAGACCATTCCCTTGTTAGTGCAGGATGTATCGTAAGATTCAGGCAGAAGTTAAGTGATTCTGTGAGTGTTCAGGTTAGTCTGTGATTTTTATTTGATTATGAATTAGAGATATTTATACATTTTTAACATATTTTTAATACCATGAGTTATGTCATATTTCCTTAAGCCTTCTGGTTATATTTACGCTTTTTGAAATTAATGTAATATTTCTGTTTTCCCTGTCAAATCTGTAGTGCAGTTAGTAGTTTGTGACCTGTAAGAAGAACTTTCAGTGGGGAAAATGAATGCTGTCTAATACCAGAAACTGGCTCATGATCTACACATTTATCCATCTATTCGTGTTTTTCTCACACTAATACTGTGATGCAGAATCATGTACATTCAGGTTATTTTGCCCATTTCAGATATGATCTGTTGACTCTTGTAGATTTTAGTGCAAGGACGCGTGGGTCTAAACCGAGCAGTGGATGGAGATATCGTGGCTGTAAAGTTGCTGCCAGAGGAGGAGTGGTCAGTTCCCAGTCATATGGTACTGCAGGATGAAGGTGATGATTCTGGTAAGGTTTTAGGAAATATAGGATTGAAAGTTCATGCCTACACTAATAGAAGGAAGATTTGAGAGAGTTAAGCCCTTGAAGCATGAAGATAATGTAAATAATATTTAAGAACTCAGCTCCTGCCTCCAAAAGAACACACTGTTTTCCACTATAAAACCAACTGGTTAATGCTGTGTAGGGAAATGATATCTGTTTGTTCCGAGAATGATACAGAACCCATAATTGTGCTTGTGGGAAATTGCGGAGCTTTTTAATGTTACAGTAGATGGTACTGTACTTTAAAGGGTTAAAATCGAGGAAACCAGTAAGTTATTAAAAGGAAATTAAACTTGTTAGATATTAGTCTGCATCCATGCAGAAGAAGTATGGTTTTGATTCGCTATAAGAACTAAGTGTTCAGATCCTATATAGAGAAAGACTTTCTCAGATGTTCAGTTTCATTATTATTAGGGTGATAAGGTCAAGGTGAATGAGATGTGCGTATATATAGTGTGCTTGGGTAAGATGAGATACAAAATTTTAGTGTGAATGTCTCAGGGGAAGAAGTACATCAGATGCCCCAGGCATACTTGGCCTAATAATATTACAGGGGATCTGAAGGAAATAGAGCGTAAAAGTGATTGGATTCATCTGGCTTAGGATGGCTTCTGGTATAGTTCTTGTGAATATGGAAATTAACCTTTGGTTATATAAAAGAAAGAGAGTGAAAACAACACAGCAAGCCACGAGCAAACCCTGGACGACATCAAGAACCTCCTCATCAATATAGACGGGTGGCACAAAATCTGCCCCATACAAGGAGGACGATAGGAGTATGGACACGAACCTACGTGGTTTAAAAAATTTTAACTAGTGACAATAAAGGTTTTTTAAATTAACATCTAGAAACTTTAAAAACTTTACAATACCAGGAAGCTGCTGTGACTGTGAAATGTTCAACTTTATGCGTACTGTGCATTATAGAATATAAGTGTATGTATTTTAAATCAAAACACCTATTGTGATGGTAGTTTCCAGTTTGTAATGCTGTTCCCTCTGAAGATGGTCCGTAAGGACCGAAACATATAAGGGAGATAAGTTTTCATGTAGTAAAAACTTATATGTCACATTGAACGGTTTGGTTTGTATTTATAATTGTTAGTGTGATGGACCAGAATGAAACAAATCAAATTGAAAGAGAATTTCTTGGCCAGCTGAGTGACTGTTAGTTTCTTGAGAAATGCTGTGTTCCATGGAGTTGAATCTGCATAAGATGGTAAATATTCAGATTAAGATATGTTTTGTTTCATGTTTCTTCCCAGAAGATGTACTAGAAGAGGAGAACGCCATTTTAAAAAGTAAGGATGAGCGAGTTGCGAAACTACCTACTGGGCATATAGTAGGCATTATAAGAAGAAAGTGGAGGCAGTATTGTGGAATTTTGCAAAAAAATCCAATAGAAGGGGTGAGTTCAGTTAGTAACTGCTGGTCACATTGAGGAAAAGCCAGGTACTTTAAGAAGATGTATTAACATTTGATTACATCAAATTTGTTTGTTGGACTCACTTAAGAATAATATGGTTGTGTGAGTCATATTGTGAAGAAAAACACGCGAGCATCAGAAAACAAAGGAAAGGTCAAGTTTTCCCTCTGCTTAAATTAAATTGAATTGAATTAATTTAAATTAAATTAAGCACCATGCCATGAAGATGTATGGGGGTAGAGGTAAAGCACCACCATTCTTGACTTTAGCAGTAGATGGGGGGGGGGAGTGGTCTGATTCACACCTTTACTGTTTTACCCCACAAAGGAAGAGCACCCAATACCCATTGTATAGGAGGCTGGGTGGACTCCAGATGCTGGATGTTGTGTGGTGAAGAGAAAAATCGCTTTCTGGGTATTGAAACCTGACCATTCAGCCTTTAGCCCATCACTGTACAGACTGAGCTGCCCAAAGCAAATTATCCGTCATATTTTTTTGACCACCACCTTTTCACTGGTATTTTCAATTGACTTAATCCTTCCAGCCATACTGGCCCTGGAGTCGACTCAGCCTCCAACAGAAATGAGTACCAGGAATCTTTGTGGGGCGTAAAGGGCAGCCAGTGCATAAGGCTGATAACCTTATTGCCATCTGTGTGCCGACTGTCTAGAATATGTGGGAACCTCAACCTCTCACACCCCTATGGGCCTTCATGGTTTGTTACAGGGTCAGCTTTACCTTGTCTTTACCTCCCTTTGTATAAGCCATGCACACCAGCTTTTGTGGAATAAAAAATACAGTTATGTGTATGTGAATTTATTAACTTATTAAACTACACATGTGGTAGAGTTTTGCATCGTACATAGTGTCTTGAACTTTAGATATGTTTTTTTTTTTTTTTTTTTTTTTTTTTTCTTTTTTATATNGATCTTACATCTTACTGCTGAGAGATACTTGAATTTTTTTCTGGTACATAAATTGTTTTACAGAAAGCCCCTCCATCTGTCCTCAGTTGATACCACACACCCAAACTGCCACTTCTCAATTATATTTACAGAGCTGTCTTCTCTTCCAGACACTAACATGCTTGTACTTTTGCCAGCAACACAATATACAATTTATTCTGTTTCTTGAGTTATTTTCACTCGCATACTGTCCATGAAAGATCTTAAGAAATGCATGCTCTTAGTACTCAAGTTTAGCAGAACATGTGCATGCCACAGATATAGTACGTTAGCAATTTACAGAATGTAACTATAATTAAATAAATAGCAAGTGATATATGTATGTGTATGAAATTACAAAAGGTAGCTACCTACATGCACCATCTAACAACAAGAAAGATCTTTATGTTTAAAGTATGTTCTGAAAGAGCAATATTTTTCCTTATCACAATGGTTATTCTCTGACCTTGATTGGATATGGAAGTCTGAACAAAGAGAATGTAAATGACTAACCTTATATATGAGAGTGAAAGTGTTAAGTACTAAATGTGTTTAAGTTCACATGTTAACAATGATAATATTTCTTTTGCAGTCAGTGCGTCATATATTTGTCCCTGCTGAAAGAAAAGTTCCGAAAGTAAGGATAGAGACCCAACAGGCAGATATTTTAAGTAGCCAGAGAATTATTGTAACCATTGATTCTTGGCCACGTAATTCTAGGTATCCACTGGTAAGTAAATACAAGACCACCTTTTACCTTTACTTTGCACATTGAAAATAAATTGCAAAGATTTTTATATTTTCTTGTGCCATGAAAATTACATTTGTTCTATTTATGAGATGATGTGTGAACTGAAAGTATGTACTTTATCAGGTAAAAAATTAGTAATATGAATTGTTGATAGTAATGCTAAATCATACAAATACATATTTGAAATTAAATGGTGAATTTAAAGCAGTGTTGAGGTGGTACCTCAAATAGATGGGCTGGTGTTAAAACTTTGGAAAATACTTTGGAAACAATTAAGAGGACATTAAAAGAAGTTAGGAAATTTTCCACAATGTCAAGATTTTGGTTAAAATGAGCATTATGGTTCAGTGTATTACCTGGATAAGTAATACAATTATTATTATTTAAGGTTTTCTCCTGGAAAGAGTTATGTTAGCTTATAGTTGGATTGCTTCAGTAAAAATCTTGAGAGTTGCTTGTGACATAAATGATTTTAAATAGGGATATAAACCTGGGATCAGATTCTATAGAAATCCATCTTGTTCATGTTGAAGGACAGGAACTGTAATTTCTTTGCAGATTCACTAAATGTTCTACATGAATATAATAGTTACTTTGATCAGTATTAAATATGTAATGGGTTCATAAATTGGATCAAATGATAATATATATGAGTGAGTACTTGGTATCATCATCAGTAATCTGTCAGGCAACAGGTCCACAGTCTCTTCCAAAACAGTTTCTCCACTTAATGCGATCTTCTGTTTTTGGAAAGAGACTATCCAGGAAAAGTGATAATGTGGTAGTTTTTCCATTTGCTTTCCACATCGCAGTACAACAGCCGTTCAAACCACTCTGGTCACGCCTGTTGCTATACGAACTTGAACCATCTCGAGCATCATTTGCTCTGTGCTTCAAGTCGCTGCTGATGACGCTGCTTCCGACATCAGTTTTTGGTGTCTCTCTTCGTCTGATGCCTACCCTTTGACCTGTCCAGCAAGGGAGGCCCTGCCAGTAGCTACGCTACCGCAGGTATAGCTCTCAGGGTCCTTGGCATACTCAAACCCCCTCACCACGATAAGGTGGAGACACCAAGGAGGGTTTTTTTTTTAATTAATTATTAATTAATTATTTATTATTTTCAGAATAACAGTTTTGATACTGATTATTATGAAAAGCTGTTTGAGACACTTTGTGCTTTATTTCCAGGGGCATTTTGTACGGGCTCTAGGTACAATTGGTGACAAAGACACCGAAAATGAAGTTCTGCTCTTGGAACATGATGTTCCTCATAGCAAGTTTTCAGAAGCGGTTTTGAGTTGCCTCCCTAAGTTGCCATGGGTTATTACAGAGAAGGTAAATTGAATATTATTCTTCTTTCAAGTGTTAGGCCTTAAGGCCTGTTTTGTTGTTGAGTATTTTCTCCACCTCATTGTTAATCACCCTACTGATCTTTTCCCCTTGAGTCCAGTCAGGATAGCTGAAAGATGGCATTCCCCATCCCCTGGCCTATAGCCAGCTGGAAGGAATGTTATGTTTTCAAGCCTTATAAGAAGGTAAGTGAAGTAGGGTGCATTTTCACTGGTATGGAGTGACCCAGATATATTTTACTCCAATAATTTCCATCAGTAATGTGATTTATTCTCCAGAGTGTTTCAGTTTAGAGTATCTAAGCATCAAAGGTAAGGTTCGTATGCTTACATGAGTGGATAGTAAAGTCTACCAAATGTAATACATTTAATATGAGAATATAAAAGTTTTCCTTTACATGTTATAGCCACTACTGGCAATCACCAGAAAGTGTAGCCAACACTACAAAGAAATACTTTACATATTTTGAACATGTAAAGGCACACTTTTCCATTGCCATATTATGCATGTTATGCTTGATGGTCCAGGAACTCGGATAGCACTGTTGGTATACTGACTGGCTACGAGCTGGACAGCCGAGAGGTCAGTTCGAGTCCCGGTGGGGTCAAGAATTTTCATTTATCCATGTTGTCCCGACTAGCTCTTGGGTTCACCCAATCTCCTATGCAATGGGTACTGAAGGCTCTTTCCTGGGGGTAAAGCAGTTGGGGTGAGAAGCTGACTACTCCCAACTAATGCTGAGGTCAAGAAAATGTGAATCTAAACATCCACTCCCCCATACACCTTCATAGCATAGTGCTTAGTTATTTAAGCACAAGGGCAACTTTACCTTTTACCTTTTACACTTGATGGACCTTACCACTGATTCTTGTGTTAGGAGTTGTAACAGCTCAAGATGACTTTTTATACTTGATTAAACATTCTTGAAAATAGTTACTGTAGGATTCAGACGATGGTGTATAACACACAGAGATATTGGGTTTTCGGACTTTATCCATCGTCCTGGTTTTTAAGATAACTAAGAAAAAAACACGTTGTTTCGGAAACTGGATCTGTTTCCTTCCTCAGGTGAGGGAAAACACCTATTCTGTTGGGGTGTGATCCAGTGATTGAGGCTAGCTCTTTCTAAAGGACCCAACAGGATAAGTGTTTTCCCTCACCTGAGGACGGAAACAGATCCAGTTTCCGAAACGACGTGTTTTTTTCTTAGTTATCTTAAAAACCAGGACGCTGGATAAAGTCTGAAAACCCAATATCTCTTTTCTTGAAAATGTATGGTGTGTATGTGTTTCTGTGTGTCATGCGTGCATGTGTGTATTTAATTGAAATATTTCAGGTCTCTGTTATATTTTGTTGCTGTTCTGTTGCAGGATGTTCAGAGCAGAGTTGATTTGCGACATGTGGATATTTGCTCTGTGGATCCTCCAGGTTGTACTGACATTGATGATGCTCTTCACTGCAAGGAACTGGAAAATGGAAATTATGACGTAATAATCTAAAGATGAAAAACTCTAGTTTTATGGAGTGTTCTGTTTGGGTGTGAAATTTGGACTGCATTCTAAGGAAAGGACAGAAATTGAAATCGTTTGAAAACAAAGTACTGAGGAAATCTGAGGGTGAAAATATGGGCTGATGATGACTCTTATGAATATATTAATGAGTCTTCAGGCTCTCTGGCAGACAGGGTATTTCTTGATTAGCTGAACAATTGCTGTCTTGTCTAGGTGTATGAATTAGTGACTATATATAAAGTAATGTTTTATTAGTTTATTTGAAATATATAAATCAATGAATATGTCAATATTTATGCTCCTCAGACAGAGTTATAACAGTTCTGTTACTAAAAAGATGGCTATGGATTTGATGATGGTGATCAGTTGCTAGCAGAGGTAAATTTTTGTGCCCACTACCACGTTCTCCATAATAAATGGCATCCTGTAAGGATAGTTTCCTAGGCAACTTAAGCATGAATCATTGCCTCTAATGCTGAGGTTAAAATTGTGTTCTTTACTGCCTTGAGCCCTGTTAGTTAGTCACTGGTTTTCTCTTAGAAATAGTGAATTCCTTCTCTCTGCCCATAATAAGGAATGCTCACTTTCTCTGTCTCTTTGTGTGTAATAGTGTTATCAAGAACCTAAGATGCTTTGAGAATTTAATTTGCTTCAATTAGTACCAGTTATTTTATCCATACCTTTTGTTATTTTGTGATTTGAAAGAGATTTGTTCCTGTAGACATATTAGAGACATTGTTTTAACATTATGTACACCTGATTATTAGTTCAAATACGTATACATGTGAGTGAAAGAAAAACTATATGGTAGGGTTGTTCCTGTGCTTAATTAAACATGGCATGCAGACATCTGAAGGAGTGGAGGTATTGCTCCAAGCATTCTTAATCTTAACACTAGATGGAGATGGAGGGGAGTGGTCATCTTCATGTCCTGACTGTTGTATCCCCAGGGATAGAGCCCCAGATATCCATTGGATAGGATGATAGTGGAGGGCTTTGTGAACACAGTAATGAATCTTTGGGTGTTATAAAAGTCAGGGAATTTTGTGACCAGTCCTGTGTGACTGTCAGATTGTCAGGAAAGATTGTGAACCATGGAGATATGTCCTGATGCTGGTTGACTAAACTTTTGTTTGACAGTCATAAACTGGGCATGAATTGTATCTGGTGGGTGTTCTGCTGATACTCGCTATATGTTTATCTTGTGACAACTGTTTTTGAACAGGTGGGCGTCCATATTGCTGATGTGAGTCACTTCATTAGGCCTGGCACAGCAATAGACAAAGAGGCCGCACTCAGAGCAACAACTGTATATTTGGTGGACAAGAGGATTGACATGGTACCAGGTCAGTAAATCTTACAAGGCACAAGAACAATGGCAATGATGATAATCTGATTTATAATCACAGCCAAAAGAATTTAACTCTGTCATGATTCAAACTTATGACAGTCTTTGCAGAAGTCCAGGAGGTTAGTCTGTGAGCTAAATTGAAGCTTATTGTTATATTATAAATTTAAATTACCTAAATAGGACACTAAGAATACAAGATTTGGAGGACTGGAAGTCTGTAATAGAATAGTAGGCTTTATGAATTCTACCTGGAGCCCCTAATAGTTGATTGAGGCACTGTGCTACAAGCTGGAGGGTCATGGGTTCAATCCCCATGAGGTCGTTGAATTTTTCAGCTGACCTAATCTTTCCAGCAGCACTGTGGCCCTGGGGTCAACTCAGCCTCTAGAATGAGTACCACGAATCTTCCTGGGGGTAGAGGGTGCCCTGAATGTAAGGTTGACATCCTCATCGCCATCTGTCAGCCGATTGTCTAGAAAATGTCAGAGCTTCAACGTCTCACAACCCTGTGGGCCTCACGGCCTGTTACAGGGGTAGCTTTACCTTCTTACTTCTTGTTACAGTGCTGCAAAGTAACTTACTTGTAATTTAATTATTCTTATTTCCTCATAAGATTCTGCATAATTGGAAGCATACAAGTAGGCACTGTAACGAACCACTGTAAACAAATATGCTACTTTTTATTTTTAGAGTTGCTGAGTTCAAATCTGTGCTCTTTGCGTGGAAATGAAGAGAGATTTGCTTTCTCCTGTATTTGGGAATTGACCAGTGAAGCTGAAATTGTTAGTACACGTTTCTGCAAGAGCATCATTCGGTCACGACAGGCCATGACATACGAGGAAGCCCAAATTAAGATAGATGATTTAACACAGAATGACACTTTATCAAAATCGCTCAGAGGACTGAATTCGCTTGCAAAAATCTTAAAGAAGAGGAGAATTGAAAATGGGTATGTAATTACACAGTGTATGCCTCAGAATGATGAATTTTTTCATATTTAATTTGCATGTAAGCATTAATGTCACTAATCTCCAAATTAAGTAGGGCTGGTATTAATTATATCATGCTTTATTGATCCATATTTAAAGGACGTTGACATTACAGAGAAAATATTTTATAATATCTTCGGCATAATGTTTTATTATATGTAATATCCTTTCACCCATCCTTCTGTTCTCTGTATCTGGTGTAGTTGCCTTGACCAGTTTTTATAGTGTAAAGGAGGACAAATATAGTTTCACTATTCCAGAACAGTTTATTTTAAAGAAAATATATATGAAGAATGGATGTCTTTGGTAGTATTGCTTATCTACAATTAGCAAACTGTTCACTTACTGAAATGTGAACCTCCAGTATGCATTTCACAGGAATGTGTCATTTTCAGGTGCAAGTTCAAATCCTGCTGTAGTAGTATGTAGTCTCCTGATCAATGTCCTTATTCATCAGCAAGATAGCTTGATAATGTTAGTGTAGAATGGTTGTTTATGTACATACTTTTTTGTTATAGATGCATGATGATAAATGAGTAAAAGAGGCATCTTACAGTGAGAAGCACAGACTGTCAACCAAAATACTTTAGAATACTAAAACGTAGGCATATCAGATTTATGTGTTGTTCACAGAAGAGAGGTGAAAGTTATAAAAAATTATGTTTTGTGGACTGGTGTAGTCATACATATAGCCCAGGTTGTACTAAGCTGTACATGTGGCCTCAACGCTTATCCTGTTTGTCACATGAGCAACAGTGACGCCCTTTACCCATATATCAAAAAGTGTGTTCTCATATCCCACAAATTATTCATTCATTGTTTTATTATACCATTTATAATTGTATCATTTTATGCAGGAAGGGTTAGTGGACAAATACTTAACTGTGTAGAATATCAACTTTGTTTAGTATGGTGTTTAGACTGAACTGAAATGCCTATTGGCTTTGGCTGCTCTAAAGTGATGCCTATATTATAACAGTTCTTGATCTGCTTTATTTGTACATGACACAAAAGAGGCCAAGAAGAAATTGTTACAGATATTTACAATGATGTATTGTCTGGTATTTTAATTAAAGAAGTCAATAATAGTTCACAGACTAGTGGTGTTGGTTGTGTTTACTTTTGTTCAGTTGCATTGTGTGAAGATTTTTGTTTTGTGAGATGTCACTATAAGAAACATTGCCAGACACACTTCTGTAGCTCAAAATAGGATAAAATCTGTTATTCACAAATAAAGTGAGAGCTGGAAGCTTTGTTTTGTTTAATGTGTTATTAATTTATTTCACAGAGCTTTGGTGTTGGCTTCGCCAGAAATCCGATTCCAAGTGGACAGTGAAACGCAGGATCCAATTGAAGTGGAAGCAAAGAAGTTGCGTGAAACCAATTCAATGGTAGAAGAATTTATGTTATTGGCCAACATATATGTGGCCATTAAAATACTGGAGGACTTCCCAGAGTGTGCCATGCTACGGCGTCATCCAAAGCTTCCAGTATCAAATTTTGAGCCTTTCATTAAGGCAGGAAGGAATTTGGTATGTTACCAGCCTCTATCTGTGTATACTGCAACCATTCACTGCAAGATTAATCAGGGAATTTGTATGGTATTAGTTACATAGTTGCAGTTAACTCTCATTTTAATTCACTGTATCTTGACACACACACACAGAACATTTAACATGTTACATCTTAGTGTTTCATTTCATTTCATTTATTCTTTAAATTCAATAAATCCTTTTTGGCGAAGCCTAGGATGTTGAACAAGTCACAATGAAATCAAAACATACACGAGAACAGTGGTAAGCATGACGTATGGCAGTCAATTTTATTGTGTTCTACTGTGTTAGACATTGTAAAGAGTTGACAGAAGTTCGTATTATGGCTGAAACTTGTTGGATGAGAGTAAGACTGTTGCAGAGGATCTTTGTTTCTCTAATTTTAATTTCTGTTCGTGGTTAAAGGGTTTTTGAGGTCAGGATGTTTCACTTCTGTCTTTTCAGTTGAGTAGCTTGTTTCCAAAACATCCGTTTTACTCTGCGATAAACTCTTCAGTTGGTAAATAACAATGTAAACATGTTAGATGGTACTTAATTTTTTTTCCTTCAGAATATGGAGAATGTGTACTTATGGACATTATGTATAATGTTTAGTGTATACCTTTGAAACAAAACTTAATTGGAAATTAAGTCTGTTGCATTCTGGTGGACCATGAAACATTGGTGAAATGAATGTCAAATTGACAGAATTTTAAAATTTACAAAAATATTTTTTGTTTTGCATCCATAAGGTCATATAGTAATAAATGTCTTTGTTATGAAGTTCAGTTTAGCAAAAGTTTAAATTTAAAAAATAAAATTTAGTATATGTTTGTGATTGAAGTTACCACCTCCATTATGTCTGACAAAGTAAATGTTTAGAATGTAATCTCTGACGTACAGTATTTTTTCCTTTCCATGAATGCATAATTGAATGACTGTAACATAAAGCAACAAAGCAGAGAAACATCAGTGTTAAATTCATGAACTGGACATGTAGCAGAAACATTACAATTATAATGAAGTTCAAACTCAACTGCTATAGTATGACTTTAACCAAGAAAAATAAATTTCATGACATTAATGCAGATATTACACTGACTGAATGAACAGTAACTGTAGACAATATGTGAAATGTTTTATGGGGTAGTAAATTCACTTGCTTGTTCATTCATTTACAGAGACCATTTACAATTTTATATTAAAAGAATATAAACAGTTACCATACTTACAAATGTCCCATGCACATCTTCCTGCTAAAATAAGCTTAAATAATCATGCTTTAAGAGATGGTCTGTGGGGTTCTTTAAGCCCCCTGCTGACTGGTCAGCCTCCCACCCCTATCTTCCTCCCCAGGTTGAGTGAACAGTTAAGTAATTCAGATATTTACATACCAGTCAGAAAAATTCAGATTAGAAAAACAGAAAAATGTTTGATCTCATATCTGTTTTTTGTTACCTAGGGTTTTGAAATCAATAGTGAATCAGGAAAGGCTCTTGCACTGTCCCTTGATAATGCTGTGAGACCAGACAATGCATACTTCAACACTATGCTACGTATTTTAGCAACCCGCTGCATGATGCAAGCTGTATATTTTGCAAGTGGAATGGTGCAGAGGGATGAATTTTTCCACTATGGTCTTGCTGCTCCAGTCTACACACACTTCACCTCACCCATCAGAAGGTATGAGTTTCTGTTTTCGGTAAATTTAGCTGTCAGGAACTAAAATGGCAGTACAGGCAACTTTCATGTAGGACGCTTAATTGGTACTTAAAAGTAGAGTGATAATTGAGATAGTATTAAATGAAAGAAGTTTTTTCTAGAATTTAATTTACACTTCTGCAGCAAAACTGTTTGCCATTATATATGATCTTGAGTCTGTTCTGCCCTCTCCCATCCTCTCTACATCCCACTATTATGTTCCCATCGCTTCAAATTTCCAAATGGGCATTTTCTAAGATGGTTCTCTATCAGACTCAAGCCACATAGCCAGCTTACTGTTGCCTTCCAGAATTAATTCTCCTGTCAGTATTGCATCGTGTATAATATCAGAGAGTTCCTTACTAGGTAATATCCAAAATTGCTCCCCTTGACCATCTTAGGACTAAATTTTTTCTTGAACATTTTATTTTCAAACACTTCCTTCAAAGTAAAATACCAACTTTCACACCCCATGTAAAACAGCTGGCAAAATTCTTGTTTCGTATTGTCACGTATCCTGGTAATGCGACAAGTAATTAATGGGTTCTCTTGAGTGCTGAATGCAGTTATTGGACAATCACCACATGGATCTACAAATACTTGTAACTCTTCAAAATGTTACTGGAACAATAACACACAAAGTCTTTAACACTTCCACTCTTAGATGCTCCTTGTAGGAATTCGGTGAGCAGGTCTGTACCCAGTCTGTTCTCTTCTCTCTTGTTCTTGGACTGGGCTCCTACTACTACTAGGTAGGACTCTCTAGTGTATAATCTGTTCTGCCATCTTCTTCTGGTCAGTTCTCATGACCCAAGCTGGCTTTACGCCAACTGGATATGAAACACTCTGTGCAACAGTTCACTTCATTGTTTGTGCAGTTGTCATTGAAATGTGTCTTTCATTGCTGTGTGAACAGTCTTTACCTAGCTGTTATAATGGAAACTTTTCTGTATGTGTTGCCTAGAAATCGATGTCTCTATCTTAACCTCAGAGACATGTTTCAACAAGCCATTACCTAGCAGTGGATTTACACATCACAATATGTTCTGATTTTCATAGTTTTTGTTTCCCTAGGAATTAATGTAAATAAATATAATTTGTTGATGTGACTATCCAGTGGTTGGCATATTTATTCTCTGACCTTTTAAACACAGTGTTTCAGCTCATTTTAAGACATATATTTTAAACTGTAAGCTGTTTCTTTCTCAGTATCTGTAATTACAGTGTCCCATTATACATTTCTGATATATGATTGATCTCAAGGATCACAATTAAATGGAATAAGTAGGGCATAAGACTCGCTGTGCCAAGATAGTAACATGTGAAAACAGATAAAAATACGGCGCTAGGCTATATTTCCCGTAACTGTTTAGTCCTGGCAACAATCCATAGACAGTAAGACTACTATTAACACAACTGTTTTAGCCCACTTTTCCTTTCTTTATAAGGAGAGGTTTATGGTCTCATTATCTTTGTGCGTCATTTTACTGTAATAGCTTTTGAATCATGGATTTTCATGACATTTTATATGCACATCATGCCATTATCAGTTGCCACTCAACCTTGTTTATGTCCTGTCAGTAATAGTAACTTTATGGCAGTGTGTCTTATGCTTTACTGATCCTGAGTTCGGTTTCTGACCACTTTGTTGAAGTGCAACTGTTACTACATCACAGGTATGCAGATGTTATCGTTCATCGTTTGCTGGCTGTGAGTATTGGCGCAGATGTCACATATCCTGATCTCCTGGACAAGAGGAAATCTCACAGTTTGTGTCACAACCTCAACTACAGGAATCGCATGGCGCAGTATGCAGGCCGGGCATCTGTTGCTCTCCATACACATGTAAGTCCAGTGCGATGGTAACACAGTGAAAACATCAGTGCAGTGAACTGCAACAGTCTTTTAAATTAATTTAAATGATTTTGGTGAAAATACATCATCAGCTTAGTAAATTATTATAGTGTGCATTATTTAAAACAGTATGTTTGTTGTTTTTTGCAGTTGTAACTAGATTTAGTTATAACTGTAAGCCTGCCTGTCTCTGGTATGAACTTTTTACATATATACACATTTATATCTTAGGGTATGCTAAATTTAATCATTGATACAAGATATGACCATCAGTCTAGTTGAATTCAGTCTTAGTACAACTAGCACAGACACCATTTTATTTTACAGTGATATAACAAAGGAAATATTACTAGCTACAACGCTGAACAATCTAGTGGAAGAAAGTAGAGGTGGATTGAAATAATTTTAATTCAGATAGCTTTGCACCTTGTGGTGTTACATGAAGACAAGTTTCCAAAACAAGTGTTTTGGCACACAAAAAATCCTTATTGAATAAATGAAGCATTGTCTAAAATAATGTCACTTATATCCCAGATCACTTACTGTTATTTGCATGTATGCCCATTCTGCACTGAATGGAGGTTCAGTTCATAGAGCAAAAATAATTATATGCTTTGCAGTTGTCAGCATACCGTTATGAATGGCCATAAATAGTGAAAATTCTCGCAGGCACCCAGAACCCCTCTTAGAACACCAGGGTACACACTGGTGTACAACCAGTTGGTGATCACAAGGGCCCGGATTTTGATGACATGTCATCTTTTTTTCCTTGTATCCTATGCGATGCTCTTAAATATATAAATCTCAGATATGAGCTGCTGGTAACAGAAATGTAAATTTTTTGACATTTTTAGGTTTAAGGTCATTTTTTCATTTTGGGGGTAATTTTTTGGACTTTTACAGGTATTTCTTGTCATTTTTGGCCATTTTAGGGAATTTTCTTCATATGTTTTCTGAAATGTGAATAACATGGAAGCGAAGTGTTCATTCTTTTCTCCTTTAGGTCCTTTTTCTGAATGTTTTCAGTCATTTTTTGAATATTTTCAGGTCATCAAAATCCGGGCCCTGCATATTACATTTTTGGGTCATATTTTAGATCATTTTTCTGGATTTTTCGGTCATTTTATAGGTCATTTTTTAAATATTTTCAGGTCATCAAAATCCGGGTCCTGGTGATCACAGTTCTATAAAAAGGCGTTGTTGTTGTTGTTGTTGTTGTTGTTATAGCAAAGCTGGAAACTATTTGAAATGATTATAGACTATGAAATGCTTTCACTATTATCATATAGAAGAAATGTAACTACACTGCTGCCCAGTGTGAGAAAACAGAGGAGTTTCTTTCATACAGTTGGTGCTATTTAAAGTGAAAGCAGTAAGACTTGTGCCCTTTCATATGTATCAGAGGAGCCATAATTGTAGATACAAGTTTATTAATTCTGTTGCAGCTCTTCTTCCGAGGCAAGGTACAAGATGAGCAGGGCTATGTGCTATGCGTACGTAAGAATGCTCTCCAGATACTCATCCCCAAGTATGGCTTGGAAGGAACACTGTATGTGAGCCCACACAAAGGAGCGAAGCAGAATGTTACATTTGTTTACAGTGAAGAGGTATTGTATCACATCCATTTGTAGCCCATTGTGCCAGGAAAGCTAATTCAGTGCCCTTACTGGCTACAGGCAGGTCACCTGGGTTTGATTCACAGCAGGAGCAGGATTTTTTCTCCTTACCATCATATTCAGACCAGCTCTGCACCCCCTCTCCCTCAGTTTCATGTACAGTGCACACTATGGGCTCCTTCCTCAGGAATTAAGCAGCCAGAGGTTGCTGAAACTAACTCCTTGGAGTGGGGTCCGTGACAGGCTAAGAGTCATTCAGCCAGTCAAGATATTTGCTGTCTTGTACAGAACCCAAACATTTATTACCATATGTAAGATTTGAGGCTTCTTAAACTTTTTCTTCAACCCTGAAGATGGGGGCGATACGTTCCTCCGAAACGTCGGTTAACACCACATATACACGGTGCCAAATCCCAGAAGACTGCTTTCTTCATTTATTACCATGTTCATGACAGCCCACCATTGGACCCTATCCAGAGCCAGATGAATCCAGTTCAATACTAAGTTTTATTATTTATGGATTAGATCTTCATAGCAATTCCAGGAAATGTAACTGTCACTAACAATGGTTTATCTCAGTTATTATTTCTAAATTTTTGTTCTTTTCTCTTCTCTCAAGAATCTGATCATGGAGAAATGTTTAAAGAAAACAGAAGCATTTGATGATGTATAATTTGTGTGTTCTTTTTTAAGAAACAAACCCAGAAGTGTGGTGATGTAATTTTTCGGCCGTTTGATCCGGTTACTGTACAGCTCAGTTTAGACAGAAGTAATGTGCAACATGAGAAAATAGTTCTGAAGTTAGTTCACCCTCAGGTAAGTGCAATTTCATTGTTTGTTTTTTGTTTGTTTCTCCCCCCCCCTACACTTGCCAATTTTGTATGTTTGTGAAACATGTGAATTGCTGCTACCTCAATTTTAATTCAGGAGATGCAGAACTATGTCATTCTTCTGCAGCAACAGAGGGATCAAACTGATATAAGATAAATTTGCTCAAAATTTCAACACCTCGGCCTCTTAAGAGTTCAATTCTGCTCATGTATTTCTACATGTTTTTGCTTAGAACAAGAACTTATCAAAATGTGCATTTTCTGCTATCATAACAAGTGGACTGTATACTATTTTGATTTGTAGATCCCAGGGTTTAGTGTTCCCTCATTGAGCTCAGTGAAGCGGAAGGAAAGTGATGAAAATCTGCAAGAGGAAATGGAAATATCAGAAGTATCAGTGTCACCACCCATTGAAAAGATATCTACAAAGAAGCAGAAAGTTAAGTGATGTGAGCTCTCATGGAGAGCCTGTTGCATTGATGAGCTGGTAATGTATTTTTATGATAATGAAATTAGTGTGTGTTCATTCAGACAGCTGTCTCTCAAGAGAAAAGCATATGTCAAGGTTCTTTTTTAATTTGTGCATTCAGTATTTCTGGGGACTCAACATCAACAGCTTTTGTTCCACATGTTGCAAAAAGTAAAGTTTCATTATTAAAAGTTTAATTTTTTAAGTTACTACAGAATGTTATTTATATGAAACCTGAATCACAATGATTTATGATCATCCTGTATTAGATTTCAGATAGTGTGATTTATTTCTCAAAATACACCTATGAATATATACATCCCCCCCACTTTTCTGTGACGTGTTTTGTTTTATGTGAAGATAATTCTGGGCACTCCATGTCTAATGTTATAAGTTCAGTTAAGCTCATTACTTTGTGTAATACATATTCATACAAATACACATTTTGTCTTTTATTTTCTGATGTACATTTCATTCTGTGTACAGTTTAGATACGATTATTAAGAACACATTTTTGAGACACCTGTGGATCTTACTACAAATTCAGTTAACAATTTTTGTTGACAAGGTATAAACTTTTTTGTTATATGGTTTAGCAGATGTTTCAGTGAATATACAGGTGGAGAGATTAACTGAGGGGAAAATGGAAAACAGATCTGGGAAATCAGATGAGAGGAGGAGCATTTTGGGGAAAACAAAGAATGGAAAAGGTTTGCTGTAAGACGACTCACCCTGGTGGAAACATCAGTGGATGGCAGTGGTAGTGAAGTGTCAGATACCATTCTTCTCACATCACAGGTATTTCCCCAGGCTCCTTTTTTCTTCTGATAATCTTTCCTGCAGTGGGAATGTGTTGTATGGAGAAGTACAGTGAATTGAAAAGGAGAATGAAAAATATGCAGACAAGGCAACACAACCAAAATTAGAAATCAAAAACGCATTCCAGTAACCAAGAGATGTTTACATAGCTCATGTATTTATTTTAACAACAGACATACAATTGTAATATACAGATTACAATAAACAGAGATTAAACTAATGTACAGATAGCAAGAAGTGTACCCTGACTGCACACTTTCTGTTATGGATCTGTTCACTATAGAAGTGACAGTGTTGTAAATATTACACGTTTTCAACTTGGGCAATGAAGAAACATCATCTCCCTCCCTTTCATTTTACTTCACACAGCTGAACTACAAGAAGCCCCTGATGGAAAGTACTTGCTTAATACTTCATTCAAGTAGCCGCTTTAATATTGACTGTTCCAGCAGGCTAAATAGAAGTTTGCATGTGTAGCAAGTTTTAGTTCCAGCATCCAACCCAACATCACTGTGGATCTGGTGCTGTTTTAGCATAGCCTAGTTTCTGGAGGACTGCTTTGATTTCTTTGTACACTGTGGGATCCTCAATTGTTCCTGAGATCTGTGAACAGAAGAGAATTTCCAGACTAAATTATCTTCCACATTTAGCTACTACATATAAGTAATACTTTAACATCTGGGTTAAATGGAAGTCAGTCTGATATTGAAAATATATTCAAATTTCTTGTGATTCCATCAGCTTTTAAAGTACCCATAAATCAGAAGGTGAACCTCCAATGAGAAGCAGGTGGACAAGGTCTCCCCTTTTGTACTGTCCAGTTTGCATGCAATATCTGTGTAAGTGTGAGACACAGAAAGTTCAGACTGTTCAGTGCTTAATTAAAAACTGTAATTTTATGTATAGAGATTGATTAGTGACAGTGAGCTGTTGTTACATAACTAAAACTATTCACAGCAATGAAGATTTAGATTGTGGTATTCTGTGTTGACATCGTGGGGTTTGTTGGGTGGTTATCAGTGTTTTGGAGGACTCTGTTGCTTGCATCTTCAAGGTACATGTGATGATGAAGATGACAGGTTCCTCCAAAATGCTGGTAACCACCTACTCAGAAGACCACAGTATAAATTACCACTTCTATATTTAAGCATCCTGTTGCAAGCTATACAGATGTTCCAGGAGTTTGGTGCCATACTTCAGGAGCGTACTGAGGGTTCCCTATAGAACAACTTTGAAATAGGAATCCATCTCTGCAATCGTAAAATAGCAGCACTAGGGCAGCATTTAATATCATTTTGTTTAAACTTTGTGCCTGAATGTCGAAGAGCATGCACAGGCATATTACCCCTCCAAACTCTTTAAGACACCTGATAGAGTAGATGTTGGAATTGGTGCCCTCCATTTTCAATGCATGCGTTACATCAACGAAAGAAACTTTGGTTCACCCTTTCAAATATTCCAGGTGTCTCACGGATCACGTCACATGTGAGTATTCTGGCGAACAGCTCAAATTCATTATCCATAGGTGTGTCATAGATCAGGCTTTTCACATGGCCCCAGACAAAATAGTCCAGAGGTGTCAAGTCTGGGGATCGGGGTGGCCATGGCACTGGGCCTCTTCTTCCTATCCAACGACCATGAAAAGCAGCATCCAGGTAGTTCGTGATACAATGCTGAAGCGTGCCGGCGCTCCGTCATGCTGTATCCACATTTGCCTCCACACAGTCAGTGGCACGTCTTCTAGCAAAGTCAGAAGGATATGTTCCAGGAACACCTTGTAAAAGGACCCATTGAGTCATGGTGGTACGAGGAAAGGCCCAATCAAGTGATCGCCAATGATGCCCGCCCAGACATTGATGGAAAATTGCGCCTGGTGGTAACCAACTACAGTAACGTTGGGGTTTTTTTCAGCCCAAACGTGGCTGTTTCGACAGTTGAACCAGCTGTCCCTTGTAAACTGTGCTTCGTCTGTGAATAACATGTGATTCAGGAAATTGGGCTGAATACTCTTAGTACAAAGTCAGCTGGACCTATGTTGTGTACTCGCGTTGGATGATACAGATAAAGTTGTTGGTCATGCAGGATCCTCCAAACATTTGATTTTGATGTCCCCACAATCTTGGCAATGACACGAGTGCTGGTGGATGGCCGTACCTCTATGCAATGCAGTTCGACAATGCGGCGCCAAGTTTAAATTAAATGATTTTAAATGCCACCCTAGCGCTGCTATTTTACGTTTGTGGACATGGGTTCCTATTTCAAAGTTGTTCTATAGGGAACCCTCAGTACGCTCCTGAAGTATGGCACCAAACTCCTGGGACACCCTGTATTTTAGTACAAAGCAATGTGGTACATTATAGTACAGTTTACTACAGTTTATTGTACATTAGTATAATATAATATAGAAAACTATCTTACCACTTGCAGATTTCAAGTATCTGCAGTCTGTCTATTGTATCCAGCTTTGGACACCATGGTACTTGGCTTTAGTTTGTGCACACACTGGAAAAGTGTATGGCTTCCACACAAGATAAGCATTTACTGGAAGTCACAGGCTGGTGGCATTTGAAAGCTGTGTCCTCCAGTTTCTGTGTTACGATTGCTATGTATCTCTCTCTGGTGTAAGGCTGACAGCTTCACCACCATCTGTGAGCCAATTGTATAGAAATTGTGGGAGCGTCAACGTCTAACAACCCTATGGGCCTTCACAGCCTCTTACAGGGATAGCTTGACCTTATTATGCATCTGTCTCTTGCTTTTTATGTTCGGTGTCCAACTTACATCTGAATGTGCTATTACATGTGTATTGTGGTTAGTGAAGGGAAGGCACTTTAGTTAGGTTAGAAGAGTGTAGCAGGTGCTGCAGTTCCTTCAGTCATGAGTGCACAGCACAATAACGTGTTTTAAAAATTGACACGTCAAAGTATAGTGTGGATCATCTTATTGTTTTGTCTAGCAGACTGTGTGTTTGGTATATTATAGTTCAGTATAGCATATCATCATAGTCACCAACTTACTGTCCTGCTCTCCTTCACTGTTCCTTCCTATACTTACATTTATTTTAACCGTTGTCTCTTCTGCCACAACCTTCTCTGACAATTTGCATTTATGTTTTTCCGCTTGAGTTTTCTGAAGAGTTTCAGTCTCAGTACTACTACTACTACTACTACTACTACTACTACTACTACTATATTTCTGAACATTTCTATTGCACTTCATATCTTCTGTCTGTCAGTTTACCGTCCTCTGCACTCCTGAACTTCTCAGCTCCTCTGTTACCCTCTTTTGTAAATGCTGCCTTCGTAAATTTCCTGAACTGTTTTCAAATTATCATTTCCTCTCCTGACCCCTTCTAATTTCCTTTCTATGAGTATCATTCCCAAACTCCCCCATTCCACCACTTGCTATCTTCATAGCTCTCATTTCTCTTACTATCTCACTTCTCCTTTCTGCTCTTCTTCCATATTGCCTTTTGCTGAATCTCTTTCTTTTCAAGACCCGATCAGTTTCCTTTCTTTAATTACATCACCTTCTTTCCAGTCCTTACTTCACTTTCCTTTCCCACTTCCTTCTTTCCCTAACTTTCTTAGAATCTTCATCCTTCCACTTTTGGCTTCTCCATACATAATTTTCCTGCACCATTTTTCTTTGCTTCTTTTTGCCTTCCTGACGGATGTCTGTTTCCACCACTTCCTCTGCACGCCCCACCCATTAGAGGAAAAGAAGGGAATTAAGCAAAAGCAGAGTTGCAGAAGAGAATGAAGAGGAGTCTGAAGGTAAAGTGGTGTGAGTTGAGATGTTTACAAAGTTTGAGTACATTGGGAGAAGGGGGAGGTTAGGGAAATGGTGAGAGCAGAAGGGGTTCCTAAATTGATGTAAATGGAAGAAGGAAAATGTGACCTGTTCAGGAATGTAATGCAAACTGCAGAGATGGACCATCAGGTGTGTATCTGTGCAGAAATGTGGTAATTGTACAGTGCTGTAGGAATTCTGAAATGTCATTTTAAATTTGAATGTGTTTAGTGTTCAGGTTAAATGTTTATGTATAGCCTCAGTTCTTCAGCTGTATTCTTACAGGCCCTTTGATTGTACTGAAGACTACAGTAGATGACTTGATTGACACACACACACACACACACACACTGTACCAGTCTAGCTGATAAGGTAGTGGTCAGACAGACAGGTCTCAGAGAAGGTAGGGTCACTTGTGTGTGATATTTCCACTCACAGTCCATTGTTCTTAACCGTAAGTAGATTGAAGAGAGAGATGAAAGCAACAGATGCAGGCAGTGAACGGTCGACCACCTGCAAAATGGACATATATTTGGCAGTTAGTGGAGTGGTGCATTTACTTTCTTCTGTTGCAGAGAGGAATGGGAGTTAGTTTTTTCTTTGTCAGAAGACATTTGAAATCCGTCACAGACCTAACAGAGAATATCCAAAGTTATGAAATTTACATCTGTACCCTTTTCAGTGGATCTATACTTGCACGCTCCCATATCCCTTCATGGTGTAATGCTTAATTAGTTAAGCACAAGGACAACTTTACCGTACTCTACCTTTATCCTTATCTGTATGATTGGTAGCCAAGGCTGCTGAAGCAATGTGCGAGTATTGCGGTA